CCTCCAGCTTCTACGTGAAGCGCGCGGGTAAGCGCCGGGGCTGGGAGGGCGGGAGGGCGGGAGGGCAGGGGCCCGGCCTTCTCCCGTGTCGGGTGACCCCTCGCTGTATCTGCAGAGCTCTCGGACAAGTGGAAGGTCGTTCATCTGAGGGTGAGACGCCCAGGGTGGGTGGTGCTTTCCCTGGGAATCCCCCGGTCCTGGGCCAGCGCCCCCGTCCTGGCCTTGTCAGCCACTGGGGTCACAGGAGGCCCCGAGGGCCCAGGCACGGTTCCCGGAGGTCAGAGGCGGCCTGCCCAGACCTCTCTGGGGCTGAGTGTCACTGCCAGGGCGGCTGTGAACACAGGGCCTGTGGCCGAGAGGGAGGTGTTCTCTCGCTGGGGCTTCTTAGGCCCTGGCTCCCTACCAGAGGCAGGAGGAGGGGGCACGATTGGGAGCGTGGGGCACGCCCACCCCTGCCGCTTCCCCGCAGGAGCACAGGAAGGCCTTCCAGCAGATGTGGCTCGGCTTCCTCAAGCACCAGGTAGGGGTGGGGGAGGGCCCCCAGGGCTGGGCTCCAGCCGCACCCGACCTGACCTGCTGCTTCCGGCAGCTGCCTCTCCGCATCTGCAAGAAGGTGCTGGTGATCATGCACGACTCCATCCTGCCTCACCTGGCGCAGCCCAGCCTCATGATCGACTTCCTCGCCCGCGCCTGTGACGTCGGTGAGCAGGGAGCGCCTGGCGGCCCCGGAGCCAGGAGCAGCGGGACGGGGTGGGGGTGGGGGTGGGGGTGCGCGGCAGGGCTGTGACCAGCGTCCCCGGGCGGGGGTGTGCCGTTGGGTTGGGCTCCACGGCTGCGTGTCTGTTTGCAGGTGGAGCCGTCAGCCTCTTGGCTTTGAACGGACTCTTCATCCTGATTCATAAGCACAACCTGTGAGTGTCTGCCTCGGGGGTCTGAGAGCTTTTCAGCTCTGCCCGTTCATCCGTGACCCCGGCCGGGATTCGTGATCTGTCCTGTTTGTGGCTCTACCCGATACGTGCTCCGTCACTTGCCTCCCCCAACAGGGAGTACCCTGGTTTCTACCGGAAGCTGTATGGCCTGCTCGACCCGTCTGTCTTCCACGTCAAGTACCGGGCCCGCTTCTTCCACCTGGCCGATCTCTTCCTGTCGTCCTCGTGAGTGGGGGCGGGGACGGGGGCCTGGCCTGGCTCAGAGCTGCCGGGCTGCCTGGGCCCCGCCCACCCCTGTGGGGCTGCGGCCTGCAGGCCAGGACGGGAGCTGGGGGCTGGCACGGAGAGGTGGAGTCTTACACCCCCCGCCCCCCCCGCCCCCCCTCCACTGTCCTCTTTCCAGACACTTCTTCCCCTAGTGAGCCTGTCAGTCATCAAAGAGGTCATACAAAATAAATGCAAATCCAGGTAGTCATCGAAAAGTCAGCTATACCTACTCCAGATTTGTTAATCCTCGAAATTCCCAGAGGGAATCGCAACAAAAACGTCTACACGCTCGACCCTCTCTCCCCTCCCCCCGTTCTTCCCCCGGCTCCCTCCATCTCCTGGCAAAGGGGCAAAGCCTTTTATCCGAAGGTGAGTGACCTCCGAGACTATTTCGCAAAGAACCCTTTATATTGCAAACACTCTCCATTAGGAACAGTGCCAGAGACAGCAGTGAGCAGGACCACAAACATCCTTTACTTTCTCTTTACATCATGTCTTTAAACTCCTGTTCAAGGGAAAAGGCTGTAAAAGGAGCAGACTCAGCGAGAATTTACCCTAAATTCCGAGGTTACTGTTTACACTTAAAGACACATGAATTGTATAGGTTTTTTTAAAAAAATTAAACGTAATGTGTCGCGGTAAATTAAGACCAGCCTATATTGTTCTTCCCCCCCCCGCCCCCTACCACGACCGCCTTTCCCCGCCCCCTCAGCAAAATGTGTATGAGGTGCATTCTCCTTTAGATGATTTGCCTGCGGATATTCAGACTGAAATCTGTTGCACGTGCCCCGGAGTGTCTCGGAAAATTTATTTGCAGCTTCGGATCAACGATCATTTATGTAAACGCTCCTGCAAATGCCCTCAGCTTTCTTCCCCTCCTCTCTTTTACTCAGGACCAACTTTTAGCAAGGTAAACTCACGTCTTTCCTGAGCATGCAAAGGGTGATCTAGGCGACGAGGGAGGGTGAGGTAAGAAAAAACTTGGAGGTGAGAAAGGGCAAGTCGGAGCTTTGTGTCCGTTTCTTCCAGGGATGCTAACAGCCTTCTCTAAGCTTCCTCCTGGAGCCGATACATCTCATGCAAAATTAATACAAGTAATTAAAAATAGCAGATTCCAAAGTTAAAGGAAACCATCTGTCTCAGCTGGTGGCAATCAGTCTTTTCGCCGGCCCCTTTACCGGGACCTGGGAAGAAACGGTTTTTCTGCTTCCGATGTTCGGAGGCTCTTTCTTATATTGAAGATTTATGTTTCCACTTGTGTGCGATGCACGTCTAATTTGAAATAATAAAGCCGGGCTGAGCAACCAGTCAATCAGAGCTATCAACTGCGCTCGGCACGCAGCCCTGCCCCCAGCTCCCTCGGATCTCTAACCCTCTTTCCC